TTGGAAGAGATTTTCTAGAATTGGTTAGTGGTTAACTGCAGGTTATTCTTCAGAGAGTTACTAAGTTGACTGCTAGATTTATTCTGAGCTATAGAGGCCCAGCCACTGGAGATGTCTTCTTCATTCTATAATGTCCATCTTTTATTGATATTATCATTTATTTCCTCTCATCTGTCTTGACATTGTCATGTTCATGTGCTTGGTAAATGCAAGTTTGTATAGGATAAAATTTAGCTATGTTTGGAATAAATCTAATATTTGTGTGGAACTATTTTGCAGATCTGCACTTATTTTTAACTAAGCTCTTATGGAATTTCATGTAGAATTTTATATGAGCTCAATTCATTATCTTCAAATTGAATTTATAAATTTCCTAGTTAAAATAAATGACAAGTTGCAAATGAATTCTATAGGAATTTTTATTTTTTTATTTTTTAAAATATTAGTATAGAATTTCAGTTGACTGTCACTGTTGCATGAATAGGAACGTTGGTGCTATAGTTGGTGATGTTTGAATATAAGTAATGGAGGTGGATTTAATAAACCGATAACAGAAACTCTCGGGCATTCTCTAGATAGAATTTTTGCCAATCAAAAGTTCAATTGTTACCTTTCCTCCCTCTCATCTAGAAAGCCACAAGATTTGCATTGTAAATTCAATCTTGTCTAAAATCTCCTAGCCAAAGATGTTCTCTTAACAATACAGGATTTAATATATGATAAATTGGAATTTAAGCAATTTAGAGCTTAGACATCTGATAACTGCCGCACTAGACAAAGTAGCATGGCAATCAGGCTCCTTTAAATCTATTGAGGACCAAGCAAAGTAAGTTATAAAAATCCACCAAAATAGTGCTTAAATTTATTGGACAATAGTGGTTTGTGAACCCTACTAATGCTCCTTTAACTGGAAATTTTTTAATCTTATTAATTTTTTTTGTTGTTAAAAAAAGGAAAAAGAAGAGGGAAAAGTGGAATATAATTTTGACTCTCACTAGCAATTTGCTTGTCTCTTATTCTTCTTTTATCTTGTTCCTACTATGTTTCCTATAAGTGTGATCTGTCATTTGGGCATTGTCATCCAGAATGGTGCATGTCTTTTTCTTTTTTGTACTTTAGAATTTGCTTTTTTCTTGTGCACATTGGAAGATTATCGATAGGCTGTCTTATGAAACATTGACAGAACTCAGTTCTTGCCCTAGAGGATTCAGCATTAGATGTTGATCAAGTAGAGAACCTCGTAAAGTTTTGTCCGACGAAGGAAGAGATGGAACTCCTCAAAGTATGCTGACATTAAACCTATTATATGCTGAATTCTTGATCTCCACTAAGTTTAAACTTGTGGAAATGTCAACTGCCTCAAGATAATGCTTTCATCTGATCCTTTTGAATTACAATTTTATATTTTTGTGTTCAGGGCTACACTGGGGAGAAGGAAAAGCTAGGAAAATGTGAACAGGTAACTTGCTTTCCTTATGTGCTTTTCTGTTCCCTGCAAACTGCTTTCTTCTTAGAAGGATGGATCGTCATTTATTGACATTTCATGTGTATTAAAGTTGGGACAAATCTCTGTGAATTGTAAACTGCTCAATCTGGAAAATTGAGAGTCTATGTGGTTGTTTGGCATTCTCCATAGTATTAATTGTTTCTGCCTTACATTACAGTTTTTCTTAGAGTTGATGAAAGTTCCACGTGCAGAATCCAAGCTCAGAGTTTTCTCATTTAAGATGCAGTTTCAAACACAGGTTGGAAAGAACCATTCATCCACTTGCTTCCAAGCAGTCTGGTCTTATTCTAATTGTCTTTTAAAATTTACCCTCAGGTTTCTGATCTTAGAAATAGCCTGAATGTTGTAAACTCTGCAACAGAAGAGGTAAATGGTATTCTGTTACTAATTTTCTATTTATTGAACTCTGTTTGAGTTATTCAAGTACTTGGCATGTTTAACCTATGTTCTAATATTTTTTATCAGATAAGGAACTCTTTCAAATTTATGAGGATCATGCAAACAATTCTTTCACTAGGAAATGCTTTGAACCAGGGAACTGCAAGAGGTGATTTAAAAGTTAGATTTGTGCTTATCATTCTTAAATCATTATATATTTTTTCAGATAGAAGGATAACAGTTTTCTTGTCAATACTAGGGTTCTTCATGATAACAAAACTTTTCGAAGTTTCAACTCTTTGGATGACATATCTAAGCAATTAGTTATATGCCTGGAGCTCATAAATTGTTTCTTGATTGAAGTGTTCTTTGTGACATCATTTGTATTCAAGTAACACATTATTGTAAAAGTTTGTATTTTATTTCTCCATCACATATTATCAAGGTTGAATTTTCTTTCAGTCATGTTATCAAATTATTGAAAATAATGCATGTCTTGATGAAGTATGTCTCATCATAGTTACCCAGATATCACTCAGTTATTAAATAAATCATTTTACTTCTAATTCTTTTATGCACCGGCTTCTTGTTGATTTTTCATGTTATGTGTTGCTCTAATATACTCTACATTTTCTTTCTAGTGGTTCTATCCATAATGTCAATCTCCAACAATCACTAGCATATTACACTTGAGGTTTTGTTATTAAACTTTGATTCGTATGGCTGGCATAGACCTAGTAATTTGGCCATGTCCTTCAGCAGCTTCTAGAAAGAAAATAGATTCTCTCTCTGAATTGAACTAAAATCCCATTCTCATTGGTTGTTGCTTAACTGATTAGTCTCAGAGTTGGAGAAATTGGAATGCTGTACTAGCTACAATCACCTTGTCTATTGTCCTCGACTAGCTTGGTCACCTCTCTCTAATTTCTATGCACTTTTCTTTTTTTTTTTTGTCAGATATACTTCTCTCTTATCTAGCTTAACCTTTTTTTTTAAAGCAAAGTTTTCTGAAACCACCTTCAAATTTTTTCCACTAGGCTCTGCTGTTGGATTTAGGTTGGACAGCCTTCTTAAGCTCAGTGAGACACGTGCAAGGAACAAGAAGATGACTCTCATGCATTATCTGTGTAAGGTAAAAATTGTAACTATATCCTTTAATACAAAAGAAGAAATTACAATTCTTCACATGGCTTTTATGAATGTCATTCCTAAATTTACATAAAGTTCCAAAAAAATATTTTTAATACCCATCAGCTTTCTCATGTTTACATATGTAAGCTGTCTCAAAAGTAAAAACTTCACATATGTATGATGCTTATATAATGACGCCTCAGAAGTTCCATAGTTGTTCAGGGGACTATAAGGAATTAGCCTGATGAAAAAATAAATCATAAATCTGTTGCTTGACTACTAATGACTTATTTAGATGGAAAGATAAATCATAAGTTTGTTTCTTAAATTAAAATTTGTCTATGATCCATGTATTTATGTCCTTGTATGTCATATCTATTAAAATACACTTCTATAAAGTATATCTGAAAAATGCATCTTCTTTTTGTTACGAGTTGCCAATTGATTTGAAGGGGTGCATAATAGAGAGAAAAGTTACTTTACATGCTAAAAAAATGAGATAGACACATAGTGGATTGTCACCATTAGATTCTAAAAATCTCGACAAGCACTATGTAGATTTCATGAACACCCCTTTATGTTTCTACTTGAGGAGCTACATATTTTTTCTCGTCTTGTAGAGCATATTTGCTGAGACATTATCGATTCTGGAGCTTCTATGTTGCAATTTATTTTAGTTTTCAATTTCTTTTTCTTCCACAGAAGTTATAAAACCAAACTGAATCCTGTGCTTGGAAATTTAATCTAACTTCAGTATTGCAACTTGTTGAACGCTGAGAAGTAAAATGAAAATTGAGGTCAAACTTCAAGGAGCAATTTGTATGTTAGCTTTCTTGGTGTCCTTTTTCGTTAAAAAGGTTCATCAACTTATAGAAAGGGGATTTTAGACATCTGAAGTATGTGGATATTGATTTTCTTAAAATATTAAGAAAATGCATCAGAGTATAGAAATCTTGGGGGGGTGGGGGGGGGGGGATATTTTAGAAATTTTCTCAAAGTTTTCTGCAAATTCCTTTTTCTCCTTCTTAATTCTTTTGTTTCTTCGTAATCCATTCTTCTGAGAAAGCATGCAGGCTAATCTAGTTCTCTGAATGATTCATATTATGAACATGGCAGAAGAACTTGTCTAACAATTTATAATCAACTCCATTTACTTGTCTTCATAATGTTTTTAATTAAAATTGTTAGTTGTTTGAGTATTACCGTGGAAGTGCATTCCTTTACGGGGAAACGTTTGCACAACTTGTTGTTCATGTTATACCGTGCTGAAAATATTTTAGGTACTTGCTGATAAACTCCCTGAGCTCTTAGATTTCTCGAAAGATCTTGCAAGTTTGGAACCTGCATCAAAGGTATCTTTGTCAACCTTATTCTGAATAAATATATAAAAAAGACTTTCTTGAAGCTATTGTCTTGTAATGTTGTTTAATTGTCTTCCAGATACAACTGAAATATTTGGCAGAGGAAATGCAAGCTATAAATAAAGGATTGGAGAAAGTTGTGCAGGAACTTTCCATGTCTGAAAGTGATGGTCCTGTATCAGAAAACTTTCATAAGGTATAATTGACATCTCTTTTGTGGTAGTGTATATGCATGCTAATCACTGTTTTTGAGGGCATACATTTCATTTCTCCCAATTTTGAATGTGCAGTTGGGGTAAGGTTTCATGTCATTTTTGTTCAGGATCATGCAAGAAAACTACTAGAGTGAAGGAGTAAGAAAAGAATTTCCCATAAAATTTAATTTGAACTCACGAAATTGGTTTCATATAGTTTGAGTTATAAATTTGTCACCAAAAACTTCATTTTGAATTATAAATTTATTGTCAAACTTCTGCATGTCAGTTACATCATGTTCTCATGCACCATATCAGTTCTAGTGTCCTCACATTGTCCAGCATGAGAAACTGAAAAGTTATGATTGGCCATCTTAGATCTAATTGTAATTGATGAAGCAAAATATGTCTTAAAAGGATACTCAATGCATCATCGTCATTATGGGTGTTTTGATGGTAGCATCTGATATAATCAGATGATCATGGAGAGTTATTGGGATCATTTTTTATGCTTATGATGATTTTTCAAATATCTCTTTGTTTTTTCCTTTTTTCCTTTTGTTTGGGTCTGTAGCATTTGGCTTTTGTATGTTTTTCAGACTTTAAAGGAATTCCTTTGTCTCGCTGAAGCTGAAGTAAGATCTTTGGCTTCACTATATTCTGGGGTGGTACGTTTCTAACTTTCATGACAAGCATTCCCAGTTGGTTATCATTCAACTTAATTAGTTAGGCTCTTCCTCACCCATAGATCGATTTTTCACAGGGCAGAAACGTGGATGCATTAATAATATACTTTGGAGAAGATCCAGCTCGCTGTTCTTTCGAACAAGGTATTTGTTGACTATTAAGATTGGGTTGTAATGCTATGAACAGTTATGCAATATCTTTTACTAGTCAAGTTATTGACTATTACTTCAATTATTATTCATATAGTTGATAATATGTGATTGCTTTCCTTGTATATATAGAAAGGACATTGGGTTTGTTCATGCTTGCATTTTGCTGAAGGTCCTCTTGAGAACGAACTTCCAGTTTGTGAGTGAGAAATTTGAAGATTTAGTATAATATGTCTAGGTTCAATAACCTTTCTTCATTAATTGTTTGAATTGGATCATTGATAGGACCTTTCTTCATTAATGGTTTGAATTGGATCATTGATAGGATCAGTAGATATTGGTAGCTACTTTAGGGGGCAGCATAATTGTTGGCCACTAAATTTTGTTTCTGCCCTAGCTTATGATTGGATGTATTTTCCAATTTGGTTGAGCTCCTGTTCTGCAATTTCTTACCAAATAGCAGTCCAGCCAGAAGATGTAAATGCTCTGGAAATTAAGTTTCATGTGCTCTATCTATTTTGTTTATCTTAAATTACCAAAGCATTCTTCACTTCAGCAAGTGGTTTTATGTATCCTATAGTATAAGCTCAGTATATCGAGTTTATTCTTATTCAACATTTAGCTATACCAGGTATATAAGGCTGGTGGCAGATGTTTCTTTATTTATGTCTTCTGTAAATGAACAATGGCAATAGAGAATTCTGTTTGATTATAGAGTATGACGAGGTATTTTGTATCCAATGTCATATTTACCAACTCACATGCATATTTTTTCTGTTATTCTCCCAACAATTTGCTTTTT